GGATGCCGATGCCGGTGCCGGTGCCGGTGCCGATGCCGGTGCCGGTGCCGATGCCGATGCCGGTGCCGGTGCCGATGCCGATGCCGGTGCCGGTGCCGGTGCCGGTGTCGATGCCGATGCCGATGCCGGTCCTGGCCCCTGTCCCGGCCCGTGTCCCCGCCCGCCCCCGCCGGGCTCGCCCATGTCCCCGGCCCGCGGCCATGGGGGCCCTCAGGCCCCGCCCGGCAACGCCGCCGTCGCCAGGGGGCGCCGCACACAGCGCCGGCGCGGCGCGCACCACACCCCGGCCAACCGAGGGGGAGACACGCACATATCCCCGCGCCCTCTCCTCACGTCGCGAAGGGTGAAAAGGGAGCGGCTGCGCAGGTGAGGGAGCGCAAAGCGGTCTTGAGGGAGCAGAGGGGACGAGGCCGCTCTGGGGAGAGGCGGGGAAGCGAACCGGCGGTGCAACCCCCCCCGCGCGTGGTGCGAGTGGTCCCGGCCGGGCAGGGGCGGGGGTGGGTGTGAGCGGTGTCCCGGCAGCTGATTGGCCAGGCGGGCCGGGCGGAAGTGACGTCGCGGGCGGTGCGGAGCGGAGCGAGCGGCACCGCGGCCGGGCCGGGCCGGGCCGGGACAGGTGGGAAAGGGGGGACAGTGGGAAAGGGAGAGAGCACCGGGACGGGGAGTGAGCTCCGAGACAGGGGGGACAGGGATAGAGCACCGGTACAGGGAGAGAGTACGGGACAGGTGGGACAGGTGGGACCGGGAGAGAGCACCGGGACAAATCACCGGGATAGAGCTCCGGGGAACCGCGGTACAGCGGGCAGGCCGCCTCCTGGCGCGGGGGGCAGCGGGAGCGGCCTCGGGCGCACGGGGGACCCGCCCGGGGAGCCCCCCGTGGGAGCGGGCAGCGGCGGGGCCCGGGAATCCCGGAGCGGTTTGGGTTGGATGGGACTCGAATCCCGTCCCGTTCCACCCGCTGCCGTGGGCGACACCTCTCCTGGGTGCTCCCAGCCCGTCCCCCCCGCAGGGACTGTTCCAGCCCCGCTCCCTCGGCCCCGGGCGGGCTGGGCTGGATTTGGGCACCAGCGCTGGGCACGAACACACGGAGAGCGTCAGCTCGGTGAGCGAGGCGCTTGCTCTTTGATTTCGTTTTCTTGCCGGTTTTTTGCGGGATGTCGGACCCGAACCCAGCCCGGCTCTCAGGCTGTGGGTGGGGTTTGTGCTGTCTCGGGACTCCCAGAACCAGCCTAGTGGCTTCGCTGCCCCGGGAATTCCGGGCTCCAAATCGGGGCTTGGCAGGCACCGAAATTCCCCCTCGGGGCACAGAAGCGCCCGGAGCTCTCCCTGCTGGTTCCTACTCTGCACACACACGGCTTTTTGGCAGAGTGAGATCCCTCAGCGAGCCGGCTCTGCCGGGGAACCTCCTTATGTCCCATAACTTGCTGTTCAGGATGAGTTTTGAGCCCAGCCTGGGAGGATGTGAGAGCGCAGAGCCCCAGGGTGACGCTGGTGGGAGCTGGGAGCACAAACCCCTGTGCTGGGGTGCAGTCCAGGGCTGGGCCGTGTTCCAGCTGCTGGTTCTTGCTGAGCAAACTGTGCTGTGGGTATGCAGGGGGGGTGAGAGCTTCTGCCAGGGTGCTACAAAAACTTCTGTTGCTGTAGAGAAACTTAAATATAGCTGTTTATAATTATATGGTTATAAAGCTGAGCTGTGACCATTCCTTCTTCCTGCCATGTGTCTGTGTTTGTGCAGTCAAGTTCTGACCAGAGCACAGACACAAAGGGGAAATAAAGTGTTTTAGCTTTTCTTTTTTTTGATTTATTTTTTTTTTAATTCTCCCTGCAAAATTTGTGCTGCAGAACTCTGATGGGGAAAACATTGTATATTATCATGCCTTTTACAGGTGTGCTTAAAATACTTTCTTTCAGTTATTTTTTTCTAGTGCAGAGCTATAATAGGAGAGCTGCTGTATCTTTCCATGGGTAGGAGGTTTCCCTCCCTACCTGTGATCCTTCACTTCCCTGTCAGTGCTTTATGCTCTGCATTTAAACCTTGGCAACTCCTTTTGTTCTTTCAGATTAAGCACTCCTAAGTGGGCTCCCTGCAAGGGAGGTGTCAGTTAAGGAGCTCTAAAAATGATGAACTTATTGTTGAGATGAAAGGAGGGAGAGCTTGGAGATCACTTCTCAAATTGCCATGAGATCAGCTGTTCAGTGAGGGCTGGGGGGGAACAGTGGGCTTGTTTCTCGTGGTCCAGGAGCTGACACGTCCCCTCCTCCACCTCTGTGCAGGGATGGGGCTGAACGAAGAGCTGCTGCTCCAGGTGGAACTGTGATGCTGCTGCAGTGAGAGCAGGTGTCCAAGTGCTTGCAGTGGAACCTTTGGAAGGAGGGTAAGGCTCTCCTGAGCTCCTCTGTGCATCCAGAGCACAGCAGCCTCTGCTCCTGCTTTTCCTGCCCCCCAGGCTCTGTGGGGCTGGTTTGGAAGAAGGCATGGAATGGGAATGGAGAGGGGGGCACAGCAGGGCTGGGCTGCTCCCCACGAGCACTGAGCAGGCAGGAATTGGGCTGCACAAAGGAGTTTTAGAACTTTAAAAACTCGGGCTAAAATAAGGCAGTTCTATTCTTTAGTTATCTCTTCATTTATTTTTATTTTAGTTACTGTTCAGTTCTCTCAAATCCCTGATGTAGAGCCATGGAATATCCTGTTGGAATGGACCCACAGGGATCATCCAGTCCAAGCTCTGGCCCTGCCCAGGACACCCCAGCACTCCCCTCTGTCCCTCAGAGGATCATCCAAACCCTCCTGGAGCTCTGGCAGCCTTGGGGCCGTGCCCACTGCCCTGGGGAGCCTGTTCAGTGCCAGCCACCCTCTGGGGGAAGAGCCTTGTCCTGAGATCCCACCTGAGCCTGCCCTGACACAGCTCCAGCCATTCCCTGGGGGCTGTATCTGCTCACAGGGAGCAGAGATGGAGCTGCCCCTCAGGAGGAGCTGCAGCCCCCGCTGAGCTCTGCCCTCAGTCTCCTCTTCTCCAGCTGAACAACCCAGGTGCCCTCAGCTGCTCCTTGTATGGCCCCTCCAGCCCCTTCACCATCCTCGTGTCCCTCCTCTGGACACCCTCCAACAGCTTTAAATCTTTCTGATATTGTAGTACCCAAAACTGAGGCTGCCCCAGCAGATCCTGTCACGTAGTCCCTGCATCAGATAACAGGCATTTTACTCCAGAACAAAAACAAGTGATAGCTGGGTTGTTTTTTGACGTAGAGGTGGATCTGGCACAGACTATTAATGAACATTTGAATGTAGCTGGATTTAACTGGCATGAAACAGCATCGCACGTAAGGGTTGAAGAGGTGAACCGGGGATTAATAACCTGGCCAGATAAAAGCAAGGACTGTGGTACTGGTTAGATGTTGTGTGTGTGTGTGTTGGGTGCAGCCCAGTGACCGCCTGTCCTGCCGCAGATGGACCCGTCGTCTCCGCCGTACCTGCTGGCCAAGCTGACCCCGCTGCACTCGGAGCAGCTGCTGCAGGGCCTCAACGTGCTGCGGCAGCACCGCGAGCTGTGCGACGTCGTGCTGCGCGTGGGCGACGCCAAGATCCACGCGCACAAGGTGGTGCTGGCCAGCATCAGCCCCTACTTCAAGGCCATGTTCACCGGGAACCTGTCGGAGAAGGAGAACGCCGAGGTGGAGTTCCAGTGCGTGGCCGAGGCGGCGCTGCAGGCCATCGTGGAGTACGCCTACACCGGCACCGTCTTCATCTCCCAGGACACCGTGGAGTCGCTGCTGCCCGCCGCCAACCTGCTGCAGGTGAAGCTGGTGGTCAAGGAGTGCTGCGCCTTCCTGGAGAGCCAGCTGGACCCCGGCAACTGCATCGGCATCTCGCGCTTCGCCGAGACCTACGGCTGCCACGACCTGTACCTGGCGGCCAGCAAGTACATCTGCCAGAACTTCGAGGACGTGTGCCAGACCGAGGAGTTCCTGGAGCTGACGCACGCCGAGCTGGACGAGATCGTGTCCAACGACTGCCTCAACGTGGTGACGGAGGAGAGCGTGTTCTACGCGCTCGAGGCCTGGATCAAGTACGACGTGCGGGAGCGCCAGAAGCACCTGGCGCAGCTGCTGCACTGCGTGCGCCTGCCCCTGCTCAGCGTCAAGTTCCTCACGCGCCTCTACGAGGCCAACCACCTCATCCGCGACGACCACACCTGCAAGCACCTGCTCAACGAGGCCCTCAAGTACCACTTCATGCCCGAGCACAGACTGTCCCACCAGACCATGCTGATGACGCGGCCCCGCTGCGCCCCCAAGGTGCTCTGTGCCGTGGGGGGCAAGGCCGGGCTCTTCGCCTGCCTGGAGAGGTAAGGAATGCACAGATGGAGGGATGGCTGTGGGGCTGTGGTCACCCCAGGGCTCTTTGCCTGCCTGGAGAGGTAAGGAATGGCCAAGGGGATGATGGCCATGTGTGACGGTGATCACCCCAGGTCAGGGTAAATCACTCCTTGGACAGCTGTGATTTCGGAGCCACTGAGGCTGGAAAAGGCCTTCAAGTCCCCCCATGTTTGCGGGGTGTAGTTGCTGTTTTCCTTCATAACTCTTAAGCAGGGTGTTGTTTTTTTTAACAAGCAAAAGGACTTTTTAAAATGCTTTTATATTTTGTGAATAATCTGAAGCGCTGCAGGGTTTTGTTTGTGCCAACACACATAGCTGTGGAATCGTTTTCATTCTGCTGATGGAGTTAATAATGTGGTTAATTGAAGTTTGTGTGTTGGTTCTTTATCATTTCAGGTATTTTAATTTTACATGATTTTTCCCCTCGTTTATTATTATTAAAAAAAAAGTCACAAAAAATAACTTAATATATGACAAATACGCTTCCTGATAACTCAAAAATCCTTGGAATTTACACAGACTTATTCAGAGGAAAGCAAAGGACAAGAAAAGGAGGTTCAGGGGGGCAACTCCCTGACAGGAGGGGGGACCTGGGGGGGGTCGGGCTCTGCTCCCAGGGAACAGGGACAGGAGGAGAGGGAACGGCCTCCAGCTGGGCCAGGGGAGGCTCAGGTGGGACAGCAGCAGGAATTTCCTCCTGGAAAGGGTGGTCAGGCCCTGGCAGGGGCTGCCCAGGGAGGTTTGGAGTGCCCAGCCCTGGAGGTGTCCAAGGCAGGCCTGGAGTGGCACTCAGTGCTCTGGGCTGGGGACAAGGTGGGGATGGGGCACAGGGGGATCCATGGGCTGGGAGGGCTTTTCCAGCCTCAGGGATTGTGTGAAGGGGTTCTTGGTCACGATACAATCCTGATTTTAGTCTGTAGGTGTCCCTGTCTGTGCTGGCAGGGACAGGTAGGTGCCCATCTGTGTTCCCTGGATTCCAGAAGGAACTCCTGTTCCATCCCTGGGGAGATCCCTGAGGCTCATCATGGGATCAGAAGGATTGTAACACAGAGGAGAATGGCTTTGCTTCCCCCGACTGGTGTGGCTGGGTTTGCTTTGACATGGCATTAACATTTCCAGAACTGGGAGTTAAACTGTCTGTGGATCTGCTTATGTACATATATACAAATATATATATATATATATATGCATAAACACAAGTGCTTTGATGTTGGGTGCCCTTATCAGCTCCATGAATGTTCCCTGTGCTCAGGGACTGCCTGAACTGGTTCCCCAGCTGGATTCTGGGATGTTCATTTACTCCAAGATACTCTTTTCCATGACAGTTCCACATTTGCAGATATGAGTGTACTCCTAAAAGCCTGGAAAAGGCCATATGTTCCTTTCCTCTGTGCTCAGAGATGTTGTCAAAATCATTTAATTTTTAAAGTTTTTTTCAATTAATTTATGGGGACCAACATTAAACTGGATGTTAGGTTTATAGATTTAAAAAACAAAGGGGTTTTTGTGCTTCATTAAAAAATGAGTTTGAGTGAATAAACTTGTCCTCTGATATTCTGCAGCTCTGCTTCTCCCCCAGCCTCTTAAGTGATTGTACCGGGGTTACATAGCAGCCTCATTTGGAATATTTTGATTTCTTTTTTGCTTCTTCATAACAAGATTACTGAGAATATATTTAGTCTATATTCTCTAACACCAGCCTGGTGTTTCAGCAGCTCCTGCTTCTGGGTTTTTAGTGCCTGTCAGCTCTCCGGGGGCCTCATGTTCTTGGATGGTTCATATTTCCTCTCTACTGGAGAGCCTCTTAATTATTGAAGTCATTTATTAATTAAACTATTTAGGAGGATTGCCTAGACTTTATATAGAGCAGGCTCAACCCACCATGTTCTAACACTGAGTATAATTAAAAGGAAATGCAATCAACAGCATTGTAAAGACAGATTTTTCAGGTTGCTTTGTTCCACACCGATGTTGTTTAAATTATAGAGTGCACCAAAAATATGTGTTCATAAAACTGCACATTATACTTTCCAAGTGCATGTTTGTACATAAATATAGAATGTGTCTCCTCCTCTCTAATTTTCTCCTCTCTCTTTGATCTTGGTGGCTGTTCTTTTTTTTTTTTTTTCCTGTTTTAAACTTACCCTTCTCATCCCTTGGGTTTTTAGCTGGGTGTTCCCACGTGCTCCCTGTTTTCGTGCTGCAGCATGGACATGAGATGTGCTTCCCCCAGGATGGTTCCAGTTGGGTTATCCCATGTGATCCTTGTTTTCCTGTTGCAGCATGGACATGAGATGTGCTTCCCCCAGGATGGTTCCAGTTGGGTTTTCCCATGTGATCCTTGTTTTCCTGTTGCAGCATGGAGATGAGATGTGCTTCCCCCAGGATGGCTGCAGTTGGGTGTTCTCTCATGCTCCGTTTTCCCATTCCAGCATGGAGATGAGATGTGCTTCCCTTGGGATGGCTGCAGTTGGGTGTTCTCACCTGCTCCCTGTTTTCCCATTCCAGCATGGAGATGTACTTCCCGCAGAACGACTCGTGGATAGGCCTGGCCCCGCTGAGCATCCCGCGCTACGAGTTCGGGATCTGCGCGCTGGAGCAGAAGATCTACGTGGTGGGTGGCATCGCCACGCACGTGTGCCAGGGCATCAGCTACAGGAAGCACGAGAGCTCCGTGGAGTGCTGGGACCCCGACACCAACACGTGGAGCTCCCTGGAGAGGATGTTCGAGAGCCGCAGCACGCTGGGCGTGGCGGTGCTGGCTGGGGAGCTGTACGCGCTGGGCGGCTACGACGGGCAGTCCTACCTGCGCTCCGTGGAGAAGTACATGCCCAAGGGCAAGGAGTGGCAGCTCGTGGCACCCATGAACAAGACGCGCAGCTGCTTCGCGGCGGCCGTGCTGGACGGGATGATCTACGCCATCGGGGGCTACGGGCCCGCCCACATGAACAGGTACCTGCTGGGGCTGCCCGGGACAAGGCTCTTCCCCCACAGGGTGGTTGGCACTCAACAGGCTCCCCAGGGCAGTGGGCACGGCCCCGAGGCTGCCAGAGCTGCAGGAGGGTTGGGATGATCCTCTCAGGGACAGGGTGGGACTCTTGGGGATGGGCCTGTGCAGGGCCAGGGGTTGGACTGGATGATCCTGGTGGGTCCCTTCCAACTCAGGATATTCCGTGATTCTGTGAATAATTTGGGTTATTTAATTATTCAAAGAGTGAATCCTACACCTTGCCATGCAGGCCCCCAGGCTCCTACAAGCTCTGGCACTAAACCAAGCTCAGTGCTGGGTAGTTAACCACCTTTTCTCCCAGCTCTGTGCTGATGATGATCTTCTCTCCCCCTTTTTTCTGCCCTGTTGTGATTCTGGAGCTGCACTTGGACAGGGAACAGCTCAGTGCCACAAGTGTGGTAATGACTGACCATCTGTACAGCTCCAGTGATCACAAAAATTAATAATAATGACACTTTATTTCCATTCATTCCCTCTACTACCCTCAGTGTTTGATCCGCAGCTTCTTTACTGCTTTTCCTGAGGAATATAAATACACTCTCTGAGTGTTATTTTCAGGCAAACCTCAAGGAAGTTTCTGATTTGCTGTGTTCCCCAAGTATATGCATTCTGGATCTGCATTGTGTTCAGTTTTCCATGAATTGATTTTTTAAAAAATTAGCACCAGACATCCTGGAAAGAGTTTTCAGCCCTGAGGGAGCTTGGTGGGTTCCAGAGTGTGACCTGAAGGTCCAGGATAGTCCCCTGTCCCCAGAGTGCCCGAGGGGCTCACGGGCTGTGTTTGTCTCGGCAGCAT